TTATTTTGTTCGTGAAAGCTCTCCCAAACCAAAAGGATATCGCAATGCAAAGCAAATGGTATCCAGAGTAGGAAAGGATGGGTCAAAGTGTGGAAACATAGGAGAACAGCGCAGTTAGGATCAATGGGAGAGAATAGTACAAAGGTAGAATTAATGGCTCTTTACCTAAATGCACATCATATTTGGAACAAACTAAATGAATTATCAGCACAAATAGAGGTTATTGAGTTTGTTCTTGAAGCCAATGCAGAGATGTGGTTATAAGGAAATCAAAGCTGTGAACTAAATATTCAGGGTAGGGTAGCTTTGTTAGTACAAGATGGAATAAGTACAATAGCAAGAAATGATCTTGGATCAAAAGATGTAGAATGTGTATGGGTGGAGGACAGAAATAATTAGGGGAAGAAGACACTAGTAGGAGTAATCAGGCCCCCTCCCAACCCCCCAACAATGCCTATACTATATGACAGTGAATAACTCAGGAGATAATAAGGGCATTAAGAAAAGCAGTACATGAATCACGATGGCTCAATCTTCATGTAGACTGGGAAAGTCAAACTGGTAGAAGTAACCACAAAAAGAATTCATAGAACCTAGTCAGGAGAGTTTCTTTGCATAATGTGAACGGGTCAGAAACAACTGTGCTAAACCTTTGCTAAACCTTTGTAAGGGTAATATCAAAGCAGGGCTCATTCAAGTAGACTAGGAAAGGAGTTTAGTGTTAAAGACATTTGAGGAGCAATGGCTGACATTTCATGGTTCATTGCTCACGATAAATATATATCCCAATGAGAAAGAAGGATTCTAGGAAGGGGATATACCAACTATGATTAACCATGGAAGGTAAGGCTAGTATCAAATTGAAAGAAAAAAAAATAACGTGGCAAAAATTATTGCTAATCTAGACAAGTGGGAAAGTATTAAAAACTAACAAAATATGACCCAAAACTAAAGAGGGCAAAAATAAACTTTGAGACTGAACTTTCATGTAATATCAAAATAGAAAAAAAAGAGCTTCTTTAAAAGGAACAGAGAGGTCAAAATGAAGATAGGCTCCTCAGCGAATGAGGTTTTGGAAATAATAATGGGGAACCAGGAAATGGCAGAGGAATTGAAAAAGTACTTTTCATCAATTTTTACAGTAGAAGGCAATAATCACATTCCAAAAATACTAAATAATCAAAGGGCAAAAGGGAGAGTGAAATAAATAAAATAACTACCCACTAGAAAAAAAAACTAAGGAAACTACTAGGGCTAAAAGCCAATAAGTCACTTGTTTCTGATCAGATGCACCCTAGGATATGAAGGAAGTAGCTTCAAGATGATGGATGTTATGTAATAATCTTCCAAGAATCTGCAGATTCTGGAGAAAGCCTGGAGCGTGGAAAACTACCAATATAACACCATACCCAAAAAGGGAATGAGACAAAAATGGGTAACTGCAGACAGATTAATTTGACATTTGTTATTGGGAAAATGTTAGAATATATTGTAAAGGCTGTAATAGCAAAGCATGTAGAAATACATAATATGATCAAACAGAATTGGCATGGCTTTTTGAAGGGGAAATCGTGCCTGACAAATTTATTAAAATTCTTTGAAGAAATAATAAGCAGAATAGATAAAGGAGAGGCAGTAGATGTAATATATTTGTTTTCCAAAATGCATTTGATAAGGTTTTTGCATGTTAGACTACCTAATAAGATAAGAGCCCAAGGTGTTGAAGGTAGAACATCAGAATGGATAGAGAATTGAATAACTGTTAGAAGGCAAAGATTTGGATAAGAGGGCATTTTCAGGACAGCACCTGTAACTAGTGGATAGTCACAGGGATCAGTGCTAGAGCCACAATTATTTATAATCTATTAATGACTTGGGTGAGGAAAGTGAATGTATGATAGCCAAGTTTGTGGATGACACTAAATGAGGCAAGTGGTGAGGATGACACGAAGAGTCTGCAGACTGATGTGGACAGATTAAGCAAGTGGGCTAAAACAGGGCAGATGGAATATAATGTGGGAAAATGTGACATTATGCCTTCTGGTGGTAAGAATGGAGAAGCTAAATATGCTCAAATGGAGGAAGACTGTAGATAACTGCAGCACAGAGGGATTTGGGAGTTCTCATTCATGAATCACAAAAGGCTAGCATGAGGTCTAACAGTTAATAGGGATGGAAAATGAAATGTTGGCCTTTATTTCAAAGGGAATGGAATATAAAAATTTGGAAGTCTTGCTAAAGCTAAGCAAGGCATAGTTAGACCATACCTAGAATACTGTAACAGTTTTGATCCTTTTATCTAAGGATAGATATATTGGTATTAGAGGCAGTCTCAAGAATGTTCACTAGGTTGATCTGGGTTGGGAAGGATTTTCTATTAAGGAGAAGTGAAGTCAGTCAAGCTTAAACTGATTGGGGTTCAGAAGAATGAGAGGTGATTTTATTGAAACATGTATGATTCATAGGGAGATGGACAGGTACATGTGTCCCCGCTCTGCTCCAAGCCCCAGACCACTCCATACCAGCACTCAGCTGCTCCAAGGTAAGTGCCAGGATTGCCTCCCCCGTGCCAGTCTCCGCCTGGGACTCACTGCCTCCGTGATGCTGTACAGTGGCTCACTGCTCGTGATGTTCCATGGCTTGCAGCCCACGCACCATTCTAGGGCTCGTTGCTCCAGGGACCTGCTGCCAGAGCCTGCTGCTGCACTAGTATTCACCTCTGGTGCTGAGGGGAGAGAAGAAGAAAAGAAGAAGGAAAAAGAAAGAAAAGGAATAGGCAGAACAGAGGAGTTCTGGCAGGTGCGTCCTACTCTGCCACCATCTTCACAGTTAGGAAAGAGATGAGGTGCACTTATTCTGTCAGGGAGTAGTGAATCCGTGGATTTCATTATGCAGAGGGTTGTAGAGATTCAGTCATTAAGTGTATTCAAGGCTGAGATAGACAAATTTAAATCAGAATGGGAATAAAGGATTATGGGAGAATGGCTGAAAAGTGTAGCTGATGAAGCGACAAGGATCAGTGCTGGGTCCATTGCTTTTTGTCATTTATATAAATAATTTGAATGTGAAGATGGAAGGTATGGTTAGTAACTTTGCAGATGACACTAAAAGTGGAGGTGTAGTGGACAGTGAAGAAGGTTACCTCAGAGTGAAATGGGACCTTTATCAGATGGGCCAATGGGCCGAGGTGTGACAGGTGAAGTTTAGTTTAGGTAAATGTGAGGTGCTGCATTTTGGGAAGGCAAATCAGGGCAGGACTTATACACTTAATGGTTAGGTCCTGGGGAGTGTTGCTGAACGAAGAGACCTTGGAGTGCAGGTTCATAGTTCCTTGAAAATGGAGTCACAGGTAGATAGGATAGTGAAGAAGGCATTTAGTATGCTTGCGTTTATTGGTCAGTGCATTGAGTGTAGGAGTTGGGAGGTCATGTTGCAGCTGTACAGGACATTGGTTAGGCCACTTTTGGAGTATTACGTGCAACTCTGGTCTCTTTGCTTTAGGAAGGATTTTGTGAAACTAGAAAGGGTTCAGAAAAGATTTATGAGGATGTTGCCAGGGTTGGAGGGTTTGAGCTATAGGGAGAGGCTGAATAGGCTGGGACTGTTTTCCCAGAAATTCCGGACACTGAAGGGTGATGTTATAGAAGTTTATAAAATCGTGAGGGGCACGGATAGGGTAAATAGGTGCGAGGGAGTCCAAAACTATAGGGCATAGGTTTAAGGTGAGAGGGGAAAGATATAAAAGGGACCTAAGGGGCAAATTTCATGCAGAGAGTGGTGCATATATGGAATGAGCTGCTAAAGGAAGTGGTAGAGGCTGGTATGAGTACAACATTTAAATGCCATCTGGATGGGTATAGGAATAGGAAGGGTTTAGAGGGATATGGACCAAATGGTGGCAAATGGAACTAGATTTATACAGGATTCATGGTTGACATGGAAGGTTTGTTTCCGTGCTGTATCTCTCTATGACTCTATGATTCTGTCATCAGATCAGCCATGATTCCATTGAAGAGTGGAGCAGACTTAATGGGCTGAATGGTCTACTTCTGCCTCTACATGTTATGGTCTTATCCTCTCAAATTTTGAAGGGTTGAAGTTAGTGCAAGAGCACCCGTGATAATGAGGTGAGGCTCAAGTTTGTTGATGCTGATTTGTGAGGACAAAAGGTCACACAGCATGGTGACCATGGAGCAAGTAGGGACCCTGTGCTGCATACAGAGTTGCACGATGACCGGTGCAAACATTTTGAGAGCTGCAACCATTGGTCAGAGCTACATGTCAGGAATTTGTGCTGTCTAGATTCTTGTGTAAGTAGAGGACAATTGCAAGTGGTATGTAAATAAGAGTAGTCAGGCTGATAATTAGAGTGAATACAAATAAAGTCGTTGCCATTCAATACTGAGATTCTAAAGTCCCTATTTAAAGCTTAAGGGGACAATTGCAAAACGTCTCATACTTGCTGTAGTTTCACAAATTTCCCACCATTGCCCATGGTACACCTTACTTTTAGAAGTGCAAACAGCAAGCAACTGAAAAGTAAATGATTCTTTTTCCGGGTTAGGCAGGTGATAGAACATTATTTTAGACAATAACTATGTTGATAGTAGCTTGTATGAACAATCACCTTTTCTGGTAAGTAATCTAAATTTACATTCTGACTATCCTTCAAGGCTGTCCCATATATGCTGAGGATTTTATAATGGCTTTGTTGGAATATATTACCTATTGATATTAAAGGTGAAGTTCAGTTGCAAATCTTTTCTGTTGTAGAAATATGATAATTAACAACACCTCTTTCAGTGGATGTAAACTTAAAAGCTTAGAAAATTAAATGGCTTTTATTCTGTTTTAGCATGTATGTAGGAGAATGTTCTGACCACAGACAAATTGCAATTCATAATGGTGGTTACCACAATGCCTGCACTTAGAGAATTTAGATCTGCCCTCACCCTGGTTACGCCCATGTGCTTTTACTTCCTGTCACCTGTGGTGCTTAACATTTTAAATCTGGATGTTCCAGCCCAGAGCTAAAAATCTTTTCACAGTTATTGTGTACACTATTTTAACTATTAGCTTTATTGATTCTTCAGATTAAGTAACAGCAGCAACAGGAACGTGAGCATTAAAAACAATTGTAAGTTTTGTAAATGAAATGAAGATTGCTCAACCCCAGTGATCTGGGAGACCGAGACCATTGTGCAATCTATGCTTCCATCACTCTCAATTTAGTAAGAGTAGTACTTCTAACAGCAAAATTCCTACAATATCCTATTCAAATGAATCCAATTGGAATGACATTTCTGGCAGCTTTTATTTTGCTCTGTTTGGCCATTCAGAGTGAACTCATCATCTGTAAAGGTAGGACTGAGCAGACTGTTGACTTGAAATTCGTACATCCTGTTTCGTGCACTGTATATGAAGGCTGCGGGCAATGTGAATGATACGACGACTATAGGCTTCGGTCTGAATGATGTGAAGGCTGTAGATTTTGGTCTGAATGATGTGGAAAGATATATCTGAGATTGTTGTTCTTTATTTGTTGAGATGATTCCATTCAGGCAACATTATTCATCTGCTTTTGATTTTTGCTAGTTTTATTATTCCATATCATGAATGCATTTTTTTTTGCAATCATCTGATGGAGGTTCCTACAGTAGTAAAAGTCACAGAAATATATAAATAATGGAGAAATGGATAATGGAAACTAGAGGGATCCATTAAATTAAATCTGCTTGCTTCCTTTAAATTGTCCTAATATTAGTTCATATTGCAGTTATACTTAAGAAGTATAATGGGTGTGTAGATTCTTTCTGTAATACAGATAGTCAAATTCATTTTCATTTTCCTCAAGGCATTCATAGACTTCAATGACAGTTTCTTCACCTTTACATTTCTGATCAGATTTTTTTCAAACTGTATTTTCTTCAAATGGCTGTGAAAACATTCGCAAATATGTTAATTCTGACTTGAAATCAACCAGTTATGTTGTTTTTCATCAGATCCTTTCTTCAATGAACACATTTTCAATTTTCAAGCTGCTTTATTTTCTAAGTCTCACTGTTTCCCAGATGGAATCATAGAAGGGGACAGTATTGAAAAGACTGGCTTGCCTTGAAGATCCTCCTGGAATTATATATTTTCAATTATGCTTATATTCACATGAATAAAGTCTTAATTCCAAAGTTTCCAAATCTTTATCTTGCATATTTTGTATATTGTCTATCAAAGGTACTGTAGTAAAATAATCAAAAATATCAAGTTATTTTTGAAAAATAACAATAAAAAGAAAATTCCCATTTTTAACTACAATATTTGGCATGTGTTTTTTTGACAAAGCTGCTAAATTTTACTTTACTTGCTAGGCAGCAGGTGGTACTATTATTCTTGCGCCCAAGAACAGGATTTTCTTAATAGATTTCTAAGTAATGCTATACCATTTATATTCTTCATCTATCAAAACTCACAAGTTTTAGTGCATTGTGACTTCATTATTTACATTTTACCTCAGTTGCTTAGCTGTTAGTCGATATTTACCCTCCAAATAATTTGCGTCATTATGAGACAACTTGAGTTGCCCATTGATGCAAATGGCCGTTAAATTCAGCAGCCATAGGCCGAAGTATACCATCAGAAATCAATGTGAAAACTCTTTCTGCAGTTCAACACACACCACCCAGGTTCAGTGCTGACCACAGAATTGTTTTGTTTTGGCATATAGGTGAGTGTATAAGGTTCACAGACATTCGCAATACACATTAAGATCACTGAAGATGCCAATATTCATTCCTGTTATTAATTAATTACTGGAGTGTGGGTATAATTTGGGTATCAGTGGATTAAGACTATATGCGTCCATATAAATCTGCATATGCGTAGCTTGCGTCCAGTGTGCAGAGTGTAAATCACAACCAGCTGAGATTTACATATAAACAAACACAGGAGTGCCCACACTTTATTCTCACACTTTATCGTTTTTGAAGCATTCATTGATTTTGTAAACTAGTCTGAATGACCAGAGATCCTTATTGTTTGATCATGACTTATGAAATGTGGTTAAATTTGGCATATGTGGTAATATGGAAAGACATGAGTTATATAATAAAGTGTTTATTTTGGGCCACTTTGCTGTGAAATCACTATCATTAATAAATAATATTAAATTTGCAGATTAGATGTTGCAACTTAAAATGGTTTAGGAGTGAAACGATTTATGCAGGATTTTCTAGTCTTTCTTACAAAGTTATGACCAACTGTTGATAAATATACAATTACTGATCAAATTATTGTTAATAATAATTTTAAATATGTGAATACTAAATCTTTGCTGGCAATAATTTAAAATCAAGTGAATTTTGAGTTTAATGTTTTCATTTAAAACTCATAGCCCCCTTTCCAGTGACTTAGTTTAGCTTCATCAAGTTAAAAATAAACCAAAGATAATGCAAGGCACAGTGCCGGAATTTATTTTTAAAAATCTGAGATTAGCCAAGGCATAGAATTTATTCTGGGACTGTATATAATGCTATTTAGGACATAACTGGAGTGCTGTGGCTGTTCAGGTCATTGAACTACAGGATAGATGTGATTGCATTGGAATAAAATGACAGACATGAGTATGAGGATGTTGCCTGGACTAGACAATTTCAGTTATGAGGAAAGATTGAATAGCTAGTTTTCTTTTACATTTGGAACAAAGGAAGCTGAGGGGGGACCTAACTCTGTGTAAAGTGTATAGAATTGAGGGATCCAGAGAAAGTTGATAGGCAGGTGCTTTAGGAATGGAGCAGTTTAGCTATGAAGGGAGGCTGGATAAGCTCAGGTTGCTTTTTTCAGGACTGAGAAGTAGAACAAGGAGACCTACTTTGAGGTATATAAGGTTATGAGGCCCATAGACAAGGTGGATAGAAAGCAGCTTTCCACCTTAGTTAAAGGCCTATGGCTGCTGAATTTACCAGCCATTTGCATCAGTAGGCAACTCAAGTTGCCTCATAATGACATAAATTTCACAAATTATTTGGAGGGTAAATATCGACTAACAGCTAAGCAACTGAGGTAATGCAAATAATTGGGTCACAATGCACTCCAGTAATAAGGAGGTACAATTCTTAAGGTCAAGGGAAGAAGGTTTAGAGGTGATTTGAGGAAGAATATTTTCACCCAGAGGGTGGTGGGAACCTGGAATGCACCGGCTGGGGGAGTAGTTGAGGCAGGGAATCTCACAACCTTGAAAAAGTACTTTGATAAGCACTTGAAATGTCTTAACATTCAAGGCTATGGGCCAAATACTGGAAAGTGGGACGAGTGTAGATTTAGGATCAGTGCAGACTCGATGGACTGAAGGTCCTCTTCTGTATTATATGATTCTATGCCCATTGACTGAGGGGCCCATTATCAGATTGAATAGATTTAATGTAAGAGGTTGAATGTTTACAGCAGATTCGAAGGAAAGTTTTCTAACTCAGAGGGAAGTGGCAATCTGCAATTCACTGGCTGAAAGGGTGGATGAGGCAGAAACCCTCAAAATATTTGAAAATCACTTGGATGTGCACACAAACTGCTCAGCTCTAAAAGACAATGAACAAGAACTGGAAAATGTGTTGAGGTTAGTTGGCTGCTAATTGGCTGGCTCAGAATGATCAATGGAGTGACCTCTAACCATATTGTAAATTTCAATGATTTACCCTGAGATCAGACAGGAAGAATGGGATCTTGACTAGTTTTAGGGTAAATAGATGAAAAGCTTATCAGCATATTCAAGAGGAGTAACATTTATTTCAACATAGAGCATTTTTCATGCTGTCTGGAGTGCGGGAATAGCACTGTGAAATTTGACTTCATTGGCCATGTTTAATGGTGAATAAAATCATCTATTTAAGGATAAAGCCCTAAAAATAGCCAAAATCCCATTCTTCTGTCTGACCTCAGGGTAAGTCATTGAAATTTACAACATAGTTGGAAGTTATGCTGTTTAATGATGAATCAGTAGGCAAAGGAGCTGCAATTTTGGTCTTTTAAGTCTTTTAAATAGTGAATTTTAAGAAGTGACTATTAATGCTGGAAACTTTGTTGCAAAAGCCTCGTAATTTTCACAATACTACTATTGTTATCTAATTTTCATCTAAATTAAAATATCTTACAATGGATAGCTGTGCAGTGAAGTGCAATTCGTCTGTAACTGTAGGAGTTTAAGAGCTATTTGCAAATAAATGCGGGGATAAAATCACTGGGAACCGTGTTCTAAAATTACAGAACAAATCATGACTACAAATCATTGACAAAACACAAGTGGAAGGCACTAACTTAACTTGGGTTCCTGTATGTGTAGATTTCAAACTTTCAATTACATAAAAGCTGGACTAATATCTGTGAACTTCACATGCTGAACATGATATAGCATTTGTGAGCTTTAAGAAATATTATTATATTTCTTTGCATTGTTTTATATTCCTTCATTTGTATTTCTGGGAAGATTACATTTAAGGCTGTACATGCCTGCAATTACATAAACAAGCAGAATATTTAGATACATCGTACCATAACATAAAGTATTTACTTCATACTGCATGTGGTACAAAAATGCTTAATGTGTGATTTGGTATCATACCAAAATGAAGATGAGCTTATCCTAATGCAGTAACTTCATGTGTTACTGCCCAGCTCTCTTACTGTTTACTTCAGTGACAATGAAAAGGACAAGTCATGATTTTAACTGTTTTCCTAACTAAAGCTATAAAATGTAAACTATTACATTTTTTTGTGTAGATACTTGATCGAGTCCCTATAGAAAGTATAATGACTGAGTTCAAAATGTAACTTGAAATTATTGTTCGAAACTGCCAGAGAAATAGGTACTTCTTAAAAAATATTTTAGCCTATGTCTGAATCATCATCAGAAATCACACGATAACAGTTTATAGTGCAACAGGTTTATTTGAAAGGAGCTGCACTCCTCCTTCAGGTGTTAGTGACAGGGGTAATATCAGACACCGAATTTATAAGCAAAAGATCAAAAGTTCACACCATGGATGAGAATGCACTAAACAAACCTAAGATACTGTTAAATCTTTAATGGGTTAGAAGGTTTTAGTTGAATAATATGTATATGTAAATCCCCGAATTCCTTTCAAATCACTGTCGTGAGAGAACAAGAGGTTTTATCAGTGTGAAGAAGAGGTGACATTTTAGGCCAGACAATGCATGTTAGGTGTGAGGCCTTGTTTAGAATCTGTTTGTGTTTTAGTTTGGAGTCAGACTGGTTTTATTTCTAAAGTAGGGAATTATAAAACACCACATTGACTGAACAAAATAGAATGTATCTGCAAATACAAATTCATGCCATCGTTCACGTGTGTGTGTGTGCGAGTGCATCTATGTGTGTGTGTGTGTGTGGGAGAATATGTAAGTGTGTCTGTGTGGGAGAGAGAGTGAGTGAGTGTGCTTGAGAGAGGATCTGTGTGAGAGAGAATGTGTGTGTGTGTGTGTGTGTGTGTGTGTGTGTGTGAGAGAGAGAGAGAGAGAGACTGTGTGTATGAGAGAGGATCTGTGTGAGTGTGTTTATGTAAGTGAGTGTGTGTGTATGTATGAGAGTGTGTGAGAGTGTATAATGTGCTGGGGTCACCTGTAATGCAACATAAACCCAACATCTCGGTTGAGGCCATCCTCATGGATACCGAACTTGGCTATCAGCCCCTGCTCGGTGACTCTGTGTTGTTGTGTATCCCGAAGTCGGCCTTGGAGGATGTTTACCTGAAGATCTGAGGCCGAATGTCCTTGACCACTGAATTGTTCCCTCACTGGGAGGGGACATCCCTGTTTGGCGGTTGTTGCGCGGTGTCCATTCATCCGTTGTTGTAGCGTATACGTGGTTTCACCAATATACCATGCCACACACACACAATGTGGTGAATTTGTATTCGCTGATACATTCTATTTTGTTGAAAAAGCACACAATTTATAGACAGTCAGTCAATGTGACATTTTATGAATCCCTACTTTAGAAATAAAACCAGTCTGACTCCAAACCAAAGCACAAATAGATTCCGAACGAGGCCTCATATTTACATGCATTGTCTGACCTAAAATTTCACCTCTTCTTTACACTGATAAAACCTTTAGTTCCCTCAGAGCAGTGACTTGAAAGGAATTCTGGGATTTATATATTCATATTAATCAACTAAAACCTTCTAACTGATTAAAGATTTAACAGCATCTTGCGTTTGTTTAATACATCCTCATCACTTTGATCTTTTATTTATAAATTCAGTGTCTGATACTAACTTTCTCACTAACACCCAAAGAAGGAGTGAAGTTCTGAAAGCTTGTGTCTTCCAATAAACCTGTTGGACTATAACCTGGTGTCATGTGCTTTCTGACCTTGTCCACTCCAGTCCAACACCAGCAACTCCACATCAATCATCATCTTGTCTGCAAAACTTAAGAACTAAATCTACTTAATACTTCTCTGCATTTCACAATTGTTCAGGTCCTAAAATTGAAACACAGATTTCTGTGTTTTAACACAGTTGTTTATGAGATGTGGCTATCGCCGGATAGGCCAGCATTTATTGTCCAACCCTAATTGACCTTCAGGAGGTGATGGTGGCCTATCTTCTTAAACCATTATGATCCTTTTAGGTGTAAGTACCCTCCCCCATGATACTGTTAGAAAGGAAGTTCCAGGATTCTGACCTGGTAACAATTGAGGAACAAGAGATATAATTCCATGTCAGGATAAATTTGACTTAGAGGAGAACTAGCAATTGGAGGTGTTGAATGAATCTGCTGCCCTTGTCCTTCTGGGTGGTAGAGAGTTTGGAATGTGCTATAAAAGGAACTGGGTGAGTTGCTGCAGTGCACACTGCTGCATCGGTGGTGGGGGGAGTGAATGTTGAGGGTGATGGATGAGGTGCCAATCAAGCAGACTACTTTGTTTTTAATGATGTCAAGCTTCTTGACTGTTGGAATTGCACACACCGAGGCAAGTGGAGAGTATTCTTCTACATAATTCTGTTGCAGCCCTAGGTGTGCAACACAGTATCTGAATAGAGCATTTGGATTCTTGAGTTTTATTTATGAATTCTACAGAATGTTCTCAATATAGGAGGGTTATGTATTTCAGAGAATGGGAGTTTCCAAATAATATTCTGAAACTTGCCCTTTATGCGAGCAGAAGGAAACAATGCAAGCCAGCGTGCAGTATTTGAGTACAAAGCTCGAATGTAATCACCTATAAAACGCTGAGAAGAGATACTACTTATATAAATCGTTCTAACACCTGAAATTTATGTCTGGAAGCCTTTACCAATGTCATGTTTAGGTTCCTAGAAGTGCAGAGACTTTTGGATGTATTTATCACAAAACAAAAAGAAACAGAAATGTGTTTTTAAATCATCATTAAATTAATAACAGTTCATGATTTTTCTTTTCTCTTTATCTTTTACCTCTGCAGAGATTCCTGTAAAACAATACCCTTTGCATCTTCATGTTGAACCTGGGCACTCAGCTACCTTAGTTTGTGCTTTTGAACTTGATGTTGGGAATGAAAATGAGATTGATGTTTACTGGATTAAGCAAGTAAACCAAAGTGAAACCCATGATGTACTCCACATTTCTTCAAAGAGCTTTCAAACACTGAAAACAAACACAATTCATAATAGTTCTGAAGGATCCTTCAGTTTCTCTGGCAATCTAAAACGAGGTTTAATGGTTCTAGAAATGAAAAACATGCAAAAAGCAGACTTTGGCTTGTACATATGCAAAGTAGCCAGAACTATACCCCCTCCACCCATGGAAGGAAGAGGGCATGGTACTAACATAGTTGGTAAGAGTAATTTTTTGTCACTATTAACCATTTGTATTTATTAAAATGAGTTATGACCTGGTTAGGCCATAACACCTTTCTGTCGCTGCTATTGAATAACTTGAGAAGCACCATTTGGAATTTACTTGAGAATGTGGACATGTTTAGATGTAATGTGCAGTATACTCTACACATCAAAACATTGCGCTTTACATTTCATCATAAGCAGTGCAGTCACAATGTATGTCAGCTTGTTATGCAATGAACCACTGTAGATGTTTCGTAGGAAATAATCCATATGAATCCATTCAGGACTGTAATTTCAAAAATTTCATTAACTCTCCGATTTGAATATAAGCTACTGTTCTACAGGTAGGATGTGAAGGCAGCAAAGGGGTTTTACAAGAATGTGTCCGGGGTGAGAAACTTCAGCAATAAAGAAAGATTTGAGAAGTTGTAATTATTTTTCTTGAAGAGAATGCTAAGAACAGATTTGATAGAAGTTTACAAAATCGTCAGGGGTCTGCAGAGAATAGATAGGGAGAAACTGTTCCCACTTGGAGGTAGATTGAGAACCAGAGGGCACAGTTTAAAGTGTTTTGCAAAAGAAGCAAATGCAAGGTAAGAAAAATCATTTTTATACTGCGAATCCGGAATGCACTGCCTGGAAGTATGGTGAAGGCAGGTTGAATTGAGGCACTCGAGTTTGTTGGATGCTTATATATAGAGAAACAATATGCAGGGGTAAGGAGAAAAAGCTGAAGTTTGGCTCCAGGTCAAAATGCTCACACAGCCAGTGCAGACTTGATGGGCCAAATGGTCTTCTTCTGCATGATAACTAATCTGTGATTTCTGTATCTGCAGAACCTTGCATTGTTAGATGACGTCTACAACTTTGAGCTTACCTTTGTCCTAACTTTAGTGCATATGCATTCTGCCCTGAGCTATATACATTAAGTCAACAAAATGTATTTTTGGAAAAGTTAGGTACATTAACTATTTATCAAAGTGAGGAATATCTGTGCTGAGAGGTGGAATACTTCACCACTTGTGATCTCAGTGTCAGATTCAAATCATAGATACAATCACTACAGTGTGAAACCAGGTCATTCAGCCCATCGAATCCGCACTGACCCTCTGAAGAGCATCCCATCTAGAATCCCTCTATAACTCTACATTTCTCATGGCAAATCCACCTAAACTGCACATCCCTGGACACTTTGGGCAATCCACCTAACCTGCACATCTTTGGATTGTGGGAAGAAACCGGAGCACCCGGAGGAAACCCATTCAGACACAGGGAGAATGTGCAAACTCCACACAGACAGTGCCCAAGGGTGGAATCGAACTCGGGTCACTGGCGCTGTGAGGCAACCATGCTAACCACCAAACCAAATGCTGTTAGGTGAAACTTGACCAGATATGGTAAAAAGATCTCTGCTATATTCAAACAAAGGTGTTTAATCCCAGCCTCAGATTTACACAGCTACTTCAAAACAGCAATAATTTTAATGTCTATTTTGATCTCAACAAGATTTTTGTAATTTGTAGCACAATATTGTCATCTCCTTTCCAATGAAACCAGGTTTCTAGGAAACAGATTAAAACATACGTACATAGTAATTTTGAATCAACAGAGATTGCAAACAGATTCTTTTAGTCATGTCCCGAAGATGAGAAAATACAGTGGCATGGTTTTCCTTTCACATTTAGGTTTTATCATGTTATCAAGCAGCTCAGTGAGGGAATCCAGGCATCTGGGACCAGGCTGAAAAAGACAAATAACTGCAGACCCTTACTCAATCAGATTGAAGGATTGCAAAGTTAATAATGTAAAGACTGAGAAGGGAGCTGAATTAAAGGAGGTGCATTCGATGCCACATCAGGTACTGTGAGCGATAGAATGATTGGATTATGAAAGTGCGAAAAAAAGTAAAAGAAACGGTTTCAAATTTGACTTTTTAAAAAAAACTCCAACAATTAAAACCTAAAGGAATGAGATTCCACATGTTTAATTGTTTATTTGTGCCAAGGAGGTTCTTTGGTAGTAACTAACATATCACTTTTTAAAAGCTAAAATTTCTGTTGTACGAATGCAGCAAAGATTATACTATGCATTTCAACGGGGAGGCAGGCAGAAGCCAAGAGTAGAACAGAGGACTTAGCACTTACCTGTGCATCTGCCTCCGTCTGAAGTTGCATTTGTGGATAAAAAAGCGAATGCTATTAGCCGCAGTTATTCAAAGGTAAAATTTGTGTCAATGTATCAACCCACTGGATTAAAATTATATCTCATTTATTTTGCAGTGTTTTCATTCCTAATAGTTTTTATTTTGTAATTTCCTTCATAAATGTTCTAAAATATTAGGAATCACTAGATACATTGTCAAATTAAAATATTTTTAAAGAAAGAACTTGCATTTATGTAGCATTTTTCTCAACAGTAGTGTGTCCAAAACACTGCGCAGGTAGTGAAGTATTTCCTGTCGTAAATCAACAGCAATTTGATAGACAGTGTCATAAACGACAACGAGAAAAATAATTTGGCCGAGTGATATTCGTTGAGGGATCAATGCTGAGCAGGACAGCCTGAGAAACACACTGCTCTCTTCCAATAGTGTGTTGCGATATTTTACATTCACTTCTCAGTGAAATATTTCACCTGACAACTAACATTTCCAATACTGCTTCAACATTGGATTTTACGCTTGAGTTGCAGTAAAGTAGGGCTTGAAACCTGCAATCTTTTGACTTAAAAGTGAGAGGGATATCTACACTGATGTGTATGTGAAAAGAACTACATCACAAAATTTCTTAGAGATTTTTCTACAAGGCTACTATGTAGTCGTATAAAAAACTCTCATGAGCACTACTGAAACATCTGCTTACAGAGATGATTATGCTACTCTTTGTATTCTAACAGAAGTTAACTTCACTATTGCAAAGAATACTGAAACCACAAAGCAATTTATCACAAAAATTTCAATCAATTGTTCAATCCATTATTCTTACATTATATGACAGATTGGAGACAAGCATGCGCAACATTTATAACTGACCCAGAAACATTGAAAATTAATATCTTAAAGAAATTGGAATCTAAAATATGTCAGTAGTTACATATTATGTAAATATATTACCGTGAAATATCTGAACAGCTATGTGTGTGATGATGGGCGTTGACAGTCTTTCCGTTACATGGCCATCAATTATTGTTTCTTGAATGAGTCGAATCACATTAAAGATTGTTATGCATTCTTTTTCAGAATACAGGAAAGATTCTTCCAAGTCAGGTAAGTACATCATATAGAGAAGAAAAAACTTTTAAATAAAAGAAAGCATATTTGGCAACTTATCACAAAAATGTACAGTTCTGTCTGATAGAGTACATTTAGTTTATGATAATGTAAATGTTCAAAGTTTAAAAAAATGACTTCATAATAATGGCAATCAGAGGATGTTTTAAGAATGTGTAGCTGCTTTATTTCTTTAATGGAGGTATTAACTTGAAAGACTTGAGCAAATAATTCTTTAAAACGGCTGATGAAGAGATAATGCAAATAAAACAAGAATGGTGATAGATTGGGAAAGGGAAGGTGCAAAAAGACCTGGGTGTCCTCGTACACCAGTCACTAAAAGTAAGCATGTAGGTGCAGCAGGCAGTGAAGAAGGTAAAAACGTTTGTTGGCCTTCATGGTGAGAAGATTTGAGGACAGGAGCCGGGATATCTTGTTGCAATTGGTGAGACAGTATCTGGAGTAATGTGTAGGTGTCCTTATCTAAGGAAGGATGTTGTGGCTACGGACGCAGTGCAACAAAGGCTTACCAGACTAATGCCTGGGATGGCAAAACTGACATATGAAGAGAGACCGGATTAGTTAGGTCTATATTCTCTGGAGCTTAGAAGAGTGAGGGGAGATCTCACAAGAGACTTACAGAATTTTGGTGGGACAAGACACAAAGGATGTTCCCAATGTCCAGGGATTTCAGAACCAGAGGTCATCATCTAAGGATACAGGGTAGTACATTTGGTACTGAGAAAAGGAGAAATTCTTTCACCCATTGAGTGGTGGACCTGTGAAGTTCTCTGCCACAGAGAGCTGGTAAGGCCAAAACATTGAATGTTTTGGAAAAGGAAATAGACATGGTTCTTAGGGTTAAAGGGATAAAAGGGTCTGAGAAGAAAAACGAGAACAAGAGTATTGAGTTGGATAATCAATCATGGCAGAGCAGGCACAAAGGGTTCAGGTGGAATGGCCAACTCCTGCTCCTATTTTCTATTTTTCTAGTACTGTGAAGACAATAACCATTATGTGGCAATACCTTTAACAGTCACTTCAGAGTTTAATGAATTGAGCATTGCAGCCCAATATCCAAAAAAGACTTGAAAAGATTTGTTTGATTACTTTTATTTGGCATTACTGAAAATCTAATTTCTGTCTGAAAATGTTTGTAATTAATTATTTATTTAGAGTCATAGAGAGAGTAGCATGGAAACAGACCACTTAGTCCAACTCGTCCATGCAGACCAGATAGCGTAAATAAATCTAGTCCCATTTGTCAGCATTTGGCCCATATCCCTCTAAACCCTCCCTATTCATATACTCTCAGCAGGCAGAAATCTCATGGGAGGATTAGGTAAACAAGATGAATAATTTCCTAACATTTTTCAAATGATTGTACTATCTAGAAGATAATCCCCAGCGATCTCTAAATAGCATGACTGTTTCTTCAGTGTAAAAGACCCTCTTATTAATTATAGAGCTATGTAAGAGTTCATGACTTGGAGCCTTGTTCTATTCATTGTGAAGACCCCATGCCTGAAAATTGTGGTTCTATAGGTTTCAAGAGTTGAGTAGAGCATTCTCATCCTGTACCACTGTTTACTAATTTAGTTCTATGTGACCCTCTCTTGAACGTTTAATCTCACAATTGTCCTTGCTCATTGCTTGCACTGGATTTCATACTGTGGTAGCTTGTCTTCCTTAGAATCAGTGATTTATCTCTAATAATATATATAGGTAGTTCACATCCCTCTTTAAGTTATAACTATTGCAGAAATACATTCAAATCATTATTATTTAATACTTGTTGATTTTTTGGGGAAATTTTCTACATTGTGGTAATAATGATACCTCATACTTTGCGATTATGATTTGCATACAAACTGTGCATTCAGCTTAGATGTGGGCTAGTGCAATGAGATGGAATCAATACTCATGTTATTTATTCTCAGAATTTGGACAGTGGTGGTTTGTTTTCCATTCCTACCTGCCTGAGAAGTTGGTAGTGTGTCTTCTCCCAGAGCAAATGTTTTCTTAAAACTGAGTAATTGGTTTCTTAGGCAACTTCAGAGAACACTAAGAATCAACCACAAGAGAGTGACTAGAGTCACGTGTAGATCAGAACAACCGAGGGTGGCAACAAGGTTCTTTTGCTAAAGGACATTCTGGAGTAGTTCTTTCTCAGTCATAATGTTGCAGCTCTCATGGTGATTTGTTCTAATACTAGCCCACTACTTGCCATGTTGTTTGATTCGGTTTTGGAATGAACAAAGAGACCTTGGAGCTCAGGTTCATAGTTCCTTAAAACTGGAGTCGCAGGTAGACAGTATAGTGAAGAAGGCACTTGGTACACTTCTCTTTATTGGTCAGTACATTGAGTAAAAGAGTTGGGAAGTCATGTTGCAGCTGAACAGCACATCCGTTAGGCCACTTTTGGAATACTGTGTTCAATTATGGTCTCCCTGCTATAGGAAAGATGTTGTTAAACTTGAAAGGGTTCAGAAAAGATTTACAAGGATGTTGCCAGGGTTGAAGGGTTTGAGCTATAGGGAGAGGCTGAATAGGCTGGGGCTATTTTCCTTGGAAGATCGGCGGCTGAGGGGTTTAGAAAATCATGAGGGGCATGGATATGGTGAATATACGTGGACTTTTTTCCCAGTGTACTAGAGGGCATATGTTTAAGATAAAAGGAGAAAGAATTAAAAGGGACATTAGGGGCAACTTTTTCATGCAGAGGGTGGTGTTTGGAATGAGCTGCCAGAGGAAGTGGTGGAGGCTGGTACAATTACAATATTTAAAAGGCATCTGGATGGGTATATAAATTAGAAGGGTTTAGAGGGATATGGGCCAAATGCTAGCAAATGGGACTAGATTTATTTAGGATTTCTGGTCGGTATGGACGAGTTGAACTGAAGGGTCTGTTTCTATGCTGTAAATCTCTATGACTCTATGATTCTATACCACAGTGGCATTTGAACTTATGAGGCTGAATTTTACTAAAAAATGGTGAAGTATCAATTCTGGGGAGGTTCACAGGTGGTTGCTGTCAGTAAGTTCCAGTGAGTTAGTTCACAGAATTCTCTGCTGTTCATCTCAATGTGAATGCACCAAGGTCCTATGGTACTGTCTTCACTCTATCTTGCAGTCATCAGCAGTGGAAGTGCTCACCATTGCCGGGACCTTCTGGTATTCCAGCTGGTGCCATACCTAAAGCTCAACCGTGCACTAGGCCAATCACTGCCAGCTACAAATAGCCCTTCACAGTACACATAGTGGGAGGAATGCTTTTGAGGGCACTGAGGCATCACACTTGATATGATTGCAAATAGAATCTCACATTTGTAAATATATTGCTACTTTCTGTCATTGTAACTGCAACTACAAGAATCAATCTACACAGTCTACCTGTCCTGAATACCATGCCATGTTGGAATCCTGTCTAAGGTTACTCTTACCCTATCATCCAGTGTAGCATAACATCAAGTTCCTGTTCAATGTGGGAGTATCAGATATTGCAAAGCTTTCAAACAGTTGAAAATGTTAACTTTTATTGAATAACAGGAAAAACAAAGCAAGCTGCTTTTGCCTCAAAGCAAAGGCTCTTTACCTTTTGAGCAGCAACAATTTTGCAGTTAATGAATAATTGCTTCGCACAACTAGATCTATTGGAAGCAGGTGTCAATTTAATCATACAGTCAAATAGTACAGAAACAGACCCTTTGGCCCAACTCGTCCATGCCGACCAAGTTTCCCAAACTAAACTAGTCCCATTTGCCTGTGTTCGGCCCATATTCCTTTAAACCCTTACTATTCATGTATCTATCCAAATGCCTTATAAATGTTGTAACTGTATCTGCATCCACCACTTCCTCTGGCAGTTCATTCCACATACGCACCACCCTCTGTGTGAAGAGGTTACCCCTCTCCTCTCTTTTCTCTCACCTTAAAAATATGCCCCCTAATTTTGATTTCCCCCACTATAGGGAAAAGATCTTTCCTATTCACCTTATCTGTGCCTTTCATGATTTTATAAACCTCCGTAAGGTCACCCCTCACCCTTCTATGCTCAGTGCAGCTCCCAAACTAATGTACCACTAATCCCCAAAATGATTGCACTAGACCTGCAGGACTGACCATGGCCCACTCTCCAGACTGTGGTGGTATGGAACCCGTGACTCAGAATACCAATCCCAGGGTCCCTGACCATGTCTGATCCCTCAAACTGAGATCAGACAGTGCCTCTGACTGACTGTGTTGACACACTCTGACTAACAACTGTCTCCCTTGACTTTGTTAAGGACTACTCCTCTTAGACTTTGAGACATGGTTGTTTGGCTGAATCACATGCAGTGTGTTTGCCATGTAAGCTGCTAGCAAGCACTGTAGGTGTGACATTGATGTAGCCGCCAAGTCTATAATCCCTTGACTGATCACTGCTGACAATCATGACAAGCTGCCTGGCTTTGTGTCTGCAATCAAAGGCAAGGCAAGACAGGAATACTGAGAACCTGTAAGCTCTGAATAAGATGGCAAAACACAAAAAGGTAAGACAAGGCAGAAATGCTGGATGCATCCAAGTGGGCACAAAGTGAGAAAGCAGGTGAAAAGCCCAGAATTACAGCCTGCTCCAAGACATGAGATAGATACCTGTCTCTGTATGCATAGCCGCCTGGCACTAGCATTACTAATGAAAGGTGTTGGTGCCCTCTAGAGTGCAGGATTGAAATGGATAAATGAGTTCGGGATGTGCGACAATGGTTTGATGTGGCTGGTGTGTTTCAGTCTCCACGGACAAGGGTATGCAGGTGGCAGCTGTTCATGGAGCATGTCCTGAGGTTTTGGTGCCTGCTATCTGTCTAGGGTGAAGCCTGAAGGAGCAATCAGTGAGCTGGAGCTGCCAGGTTCCCACTCTTGACGTTCATGTGGGGAATTGTCACTCTCTAGCTTCTCTCCACCAGAATAGCAACCTGCTTATAGCTAACAACAGGGACAGGCGATTGCCAAGTGATATTATTGTTAGTCTACTTTTCCAGAGACCCAGTTAATGTTCTGGGGGCCTGGAATCAAATCCGAACAAATTTGAATTCAATATAAATGTGGAATTAAAAGTCTAATGATGACCTTGAAACCATTGCCAATTGTTAGATAGACCCATCTGGTCAACTAATGTCCCATAGGAAGGAAGTTGCCATCCTTACTCAGTCTGGCCTACATGTGACTCCAGACGCAGACTAATGTGGTTGACTCTTATCTTCGTTCTGGGCAATTAGGGAAGGGCAATACAAGCTGGCCTAGCTGATGATGTCCTCATCCTGTGAGTGAATAATAAAAAAAGTATGTCAAGGTGAAATTTCATCTAGAAATTATTGTTTTGCCCCTTTACGTATATTAATGACAAACAGAGTAGGTATATGTCAATTTGAAAATATTATGTCAGGATACAAGTAAAATAAACTTTGTCATGAAAAATACAATTAAGGTTAACAATGTCACCATAAAATACATTGTTGGATAGCCATATATAATAAACTATGTACACCCAATTATTAATTACAGTAATTCTTGCGCCCAGGACATATATATGTTCCTAAAGGATGAAGCATTTGAAGAGTTGCTGTAATTGAAATACCATTGGAATTAGATATTTCTTGTGCCCAACATTGGCTTTCATTTGTTTTCACCAAAGCAAAATGGAGGCAATGCTTTATAAAATATCTTGATTTATTGTACACAGCAAGCAAAAGAGACTTACATTTAATTTATTTGATTTTTTTAGGAGCTGGGAACAGAACATATCCACATCTGCATTGTATCAGTGAAAATGCATTTATTACAATAATTGTGAGCCTTGTTATATACTCTTTTATTGTGACAGTCCTTGCATTAGTTTGTTGGGTAAGTTGGTTTACAGTATCTTTATAATGATGTCATAATATACTGTGATTGCAGTGATTGACAGCTGATAAAGTCATAATTATTAGTTTCCATCCGAATCATCGAAAAGATAAGTAAATTCCTAGAATTAGATTGTCACTTACCTGCATTAAAATAACGTTCTTGTCACAAGGACTGCTTAATGATGTTTTCTTCATTAATTAATTAAAAATAAATTAGACTAAAACACCATTCTTTCATGGAGCATGAATAAAACTAGCAAGACCAGCATTTATTACACATTCCTAATTGCCCTGGAGATGGTGGTGGTGAGCTGCCTTCTAGAAATGCTGCAGCCCTCCTCGTGATGGTACAATTACAGCTCTGTTAGTAATACAAAACAAATAGTAAAATTAGTTGATTTATAATTATGATGTGATACTTTCTGAAAATCTATAATTTTAATAGCATTTTCTGATGAGTTTTTTTTTCTTTTAAAATAAACAGATTTACAAAAGAAGATCAAGTGAAGCACAGAGGGACTCATTGATATATGTAGACATGAGAAAAAGGAAAGAATGAAGTGAAACGAGTGAGGACAAATTAAGTTCTTTTCATTCTTGGAAATCTAATGTTCTTCATACGCCAGGCAATGAAACTCAAACTTCCATTCAAACAAATCGCATGGACACAATCGTTTTAAGTGTACTTGGTTAATTCTACATTTGTCATCTGTATGCAATCACATTAAATAACCATCCTGTGTATAGAGTGTAGTTATATATACATGGGCATGTAGAAGGTAGGATTTGTTCAAACAACAATCTGACGAAATGCAATGGTTTTTCTGAATGGCTTATTTAATGATACTGCCCAAGGTTACGCCTTAAACATTAATGCAGAAGTTGCAAATCTCTGACCAATTCTCTGTTGTTCTTCCAAAGAGAGTCTATCTGTCTGGAAAATATTGTGAAAGCCATTTAGCTGTAACATATATACTTATTAATTTATCAACATTAGAATCATAGTGGGTCAATTTCTACATAATTCCCATTCTTCAAAAGTACATAAGATATTCTTTTGCAGTCCACATGGGTTTATCTCATCAAAATTTACTTCTGATCAATGGTAAGAATTTTAAATGTTGTTATGACTAACATAAATTTCCACAAAGAGATTAAGCCCAAACCTTCACTATTTATAAAGTTCACTACAATAGCATTGTTAACATCTATTGGGAGGCCGGTTAGCTAATGTGGCTAGCCGGTGGTTCAAAATAACTCAAAAACTCAGGTTAATTCCTGGGACCAACTAAAGTAGAATTAAGATCTTATGATGACAGAAAACATTTCAACTGGATCACCTAAACCGCCCTTTAAAATAATAAAACTGTAATTGTCTCTCGATGAATAATCATATGAATTTTATGTATAAAACATTGTGAGACATATGCCACACAGTGTTCCACATTTAATGTACAATGGGAACTTTTATTGCAATATATTTAAGTATTACTTGCATCTCCAGATTGCTTTTCTTATATACTTTTTTGGATGCCTCCAGAATATTTTCAAGCTCCTGGTAGGAATCAAGGCAACTTGCGCTAACACAGATGTAAGATAACATTCATATGCGCCAATGTTATTTGTGAATTGTGTAGAAAATTCGACTTTATCTTCAAGTAAAGATTTGTCCCAAGAAGTAGCTAGAAAAATAAATTCTGTTATTCTGCACTGTCACACACTGGAATGGACTGAGCAAGCTGTGAAATTGCTGATGATGATCTTTGAATTAAAAGTACTTTTATTTGGATTTGTTCCTTGATAATCTACAAACCACATTGTATTTCTGAAAGTATACTGTAATATTTTCATTGCTATGTAGTATTGGTGTTAGATTGTTAATCTCATATATCAGTCATTGTAATGCTGGACAGTCAGCAATCACATGACACCAGGTTATAGTCCAACAGGTTTATTTGAAATCGCAAGCTTTCGGAGCCTCAGTCCTTCTTCAGGTTTAGTGACACCTACACCTGAGGAAGGACTGAGGCTCCGAAAGCTTGTGTTTTCAAATAAACCTGTTAGACTATAACCTGGTGTCGTGTGATTTCTGACTTTGGCTTTGTAATGCTGAAACTTGGTAAACTGAGTAAGTCTTGTAAGTTATGGTTGGGTCCATAAGAGGGAATGTAGAAAAGAAACAAGGCAGTCAACCTAATCAAGCCCCCCTGTCCCGCCTATTATGAATAATAGTTCCCTGATGATACTAACCTACGTATCTGAGAGAAATCAGTATTTAGCTAAATGCAACTATAAGACGTTAAGATATCAGAGTAGAATGAGGCCATTTGGCCCATTGAGTTTGCTCTGCCATTTGATCACGACTGATATGTTCCTCAGATCCATTCTCCTCCCTTCTATACGTAACCCTTGATTTCCTTAGTCATCAAGGACCTGTCTATCTCTATCTTAAATACAGTCAATGCCTTGGCCTCCACAGATCTCTCTGGCAATAAGTTTCACAGATTCAACACCCTCTGGCTGAAGAAATTCCTTCTCATCTCAGTTCTAAAGGGTTGTCCCTTCACTCTGAGGCTGTGCCCACAGGTCCTAGTCTCTCCTAATAGTGAAAACACCTTCTCCATGTTCACTCTATCCAGGCCTTTCAGTATTCTGTAAGTTTCAACCAAATCCTCTCCTCATCCTTCCAAACTCCATCAAGTACAAACCCAGAGCCCTCAACCGCTCCTCACATGACAAATCCTTCATTCCCCCAAATCATTCTTCTAAACCTTCCATGGACCTGTTCCAATGCCAGCCCATCCTTCCTTAGGTACACGGCCGAACACAATATTCCAAATGCAGTCTGGCCACACCTTATACAGCCTCAGCAGTACATCTCTGCTTTTGTTTTCTAACCTTCTTGAAATGAATGCTAAAATTGCCTTCCTAACTGCTAACTGACCTTGCATGTAAACATTAAGAGTACCCTGAACTAGAACTCCCAAGTCCCTTAGTGCTTCAGATTTCCAAAACATTTCCCCATTTCGAAAATAGTCTATGCCTCTGTTATTCCTGCCAAAGTGCATCACCTCACACTTTCCTCCCTTCTCATAGTTGTCTTCTTATTTGCTGTACCTGAAGTCAGATTTCTGAGCTTTTTCATTACTTGTGCTATTATATGTCCTGGAAACTTTAATAACCTCTGATGAACCCTCCCCTGACCTTTAACATTTTCCATAATTTTCCGTACAACTGAACCCACCCCCGCTATTTAGTTTAAAGCCCTATCTACAGCGCTAGTTATGCGATTCCCAAGGACCCTGGCTCCAGCATGATTCAGGTGGAGCCCATCCCATCAGAACAGCTCCATCTTTCCCCAGTACTAATGCCAGTGACACAAGAATTGAACCCATTTCTCTCATACCAATCTTTGAGCCATGTGTTTATCTCTTGAATCTTGCTGACCCTTTGCCAATTAGCACTTGGCTTTGGTAATAATCTGGAGGTTATTGCCTTTTTGGTTCTGCTTTTTAACTTAAACTCAAAATGCTCAAATTCTCTCAGCAGAACTTCTTTCCTCTTTCTGCCTATATCGTTGGTACCTACATGGACCACAACAACTAGATCTTTCCCTCTCACTCCAAGTTCCTCTGCAACCCAGGTGAGATATCCTGGACCCAGGCACCAAGCAGCTAACACAACCTTTGGGACTCTCGATCTTGGCCACCCAGAACAGGGACTGTTCCCTTGGCTATTCTATCACCAATTACAACCATTTTTTTTCTTTTCTTCCCCTCTTGAATGGCTCCCTGTACAATGGTGTTATGGTCAGTTTGCTCATCCTTCCTTCAGCCCTCATTCTCATCCATACAAGGTGCAAGAATCTCAAACCTATTAGACAAGCTCATGGGCTGAGGCTCCTCAGCACTGCCTCCTGGATCCCTCTATCTGCCTCACTCATAGTTACAGCGTCCTGCCTCTGACCACTGACCAAATTCGAGGTAGTTATTCTAAGGCAGTGATGTTTCCATGTATCTGTTACTCTTGTCTTTCTAGGTGGTAAAGGTCCCAGATTTGGAAGGTGCTATTGGAGCTGCCTTGATGAGTTGCTACAGTGCATCTTGCAAATGGTACACATTGCTACCACTCTGCCTTAGTAGTGAAGGGAATGAAAGTTGAAGGAGATGGATAGGGTGTTTCAGTATCTGATGTGTCACGATGGCACTGAATGTTGTGTAATCATTAGCAAACATCTCCACTTCTGATGGAAGGTCATTGATGAAACAGCTGAAGACAGTTGGGTCTAGGGCACTACCCTGAAAAACTCCTGTAGAGATGTCCTAGAGCTGAGATGATTGACCTCCAATGAACACAACCATCTCCCTTTGTGTTATGTATGACTCCAACAACTGGAAAGCTTTTTCTCAATTCCGTTGACACTAGTTTTGCTACGGATCCTTGATGCCACACTCAGTCAAATGCTCCTTGATATAAAGGGCAGATATTCTCATCGCACTGTTGGAGTTCAACTTTTTAGCCCACATTTCAACAAAGGCTATAATGAGGTCAGGAGACAGGAGCCAAGTGGCCCTTACCACCATCCAAAGTGAGCATCAGGAAGCAGGTTATTGCAAAGCAAGTGTTTCTTGATAGCATTGAAAACCCTCCATCATGATGTGTGTCACTATCACCATGTTAAAGGGATAGATTTACAACAGATCCAGTAGCATTGGCCTGGGCATCATGAGGCATTGCGGGTCATCAGCAGCAGCAGAATTATGTTCAATCACACGTTACAGCTCATAGCATAGTATTTGGCGTCCTCTTTCACCATTTTACTGATGAACGGGAGCAGACTGATAGGGCAACAATTGGGCGGGTTGGATTTTTATGCACTGGACATATCTGGGTTATGTTCCACATTGTCAGGTAGACACCATTATTAGAGCAATGCTGGAAATGTTTGACTAGAAGTGCAGTTGGTCTGGATCACAAGTCTTCAAAATGATTGCTGGAGTGTTTACAGTGCCCATAATCTTTGCAGTATCCAGGGCCTTCAGTCATTTCTTAATATTAGGTGGAGTGAATTGAATTGATTGAAGATTGGCATCTGTGATGCTGCAGTTCTAGATCACTAACTTGAAAATCCTAATTGAAGATGGATGCAAATATTTCAGCCTGGTCTTTTGCACTGATGTGCTGGAATTCCCCATTGTTAAAAATGGGGGTAATTAGGAAGCCTCCACCTCCTTTAAATCATTTAATTGCACCCCTACCATTCCTGGGACAGAACTGCAGAGTTTAGGTCTTCTCTGTTAGTTAGCCCTGTCTATTACATGCTGCATCCAACATATGGCATGCAAGTAGTCCTGCTTTGGAGTTTCACCAGGTTGATATCTTATCTTTAGGTATGTCTGCTGCTGTACCTCGCATTGTCTCATGGACCTTTCATTGAATCAGGGTCTATCTCTCAGTTTAGTGGGTAATGTAGGGAATACACTGGACCTTCAGGTTACAGATTGTGGCTGAATATAGTTTTGCTGTTACTGATGGGCCACAGTGCCTCAGAAGGCAATTTGAGTTTTTAGATCTGTTTGAATTCTGTCCCATTTAGCAAGGTGGTAGTGCTGCATGACGTGATGGACGGTATCCTCAATGTGAAGACTGGACTTAGTCTCCACAAGGATTGTGTAGTGGACAAACCTGCTGATACTGTCACAGATACTGTCACTTTGTTGGTTTTTCACCTTATGCCTTAACCCTAGCAGCTTTGTCCTTAGGACACAGCTCATTTGGTCATTAGTGGTGCTGCTCAACTATTATTAGTGATGGACATTTAAATTCCCCCACCCAGAGTATATTCCATGCTTTTCCAACCTTCAGTGTTTCTTCCAAGTGATGTTCAACATGGGGGACCATTGATTCTTCAGCCGAAGGGGTTGTGGTATTCAGCAGGAGGTTTCCTTTACTATGTTTGAACTGATACCATGTGGCTAATGGGGTCCAGAGTCAATGTTGGGAACTCCCAGGGCAACTCCTTTCTCAATGTAAACCAATGTGGCATCACCTCTGATAGGCCTGTCCTGTCGATGAAACAGGACATTCCCAGAGATGATGATGGTGGGTCCTTGGACATTATTTGAATACAACTCTGTCAGGCTGTTGTTTAACTTGTCTGTGGGACAGCTTCCCAATTTTGACATAATACTCCAACTGTTGGTAAGAAGGCATTGCAGGGTCGACTGGGCTGAGGTTATCATTGTCATTTCTGGAACCTAGGTCTATGCCAGGTGGTCCATTCAGTTTTATCCCTTTCCTTAGACTTGCTAGTGGTTTGATTAGCTTATTACATCATTTCAGAGGGCAGTTGAGTTACCACATTGCTGTGGGTCTGGAGTCACGTGTAATCTGTGACTAGAAAGGATGACAGACTTCCTTCCCTCAAAGATTTTAGTGAATTTCGGTATACTTTGCATTCTGTTACTTATACTGACTGAGAAAGTTGAGGTAATAAATTTTTCACTGTACCAAAACCTCAGTGGTATGGTGCACAAAACAGTCATGTATAGAGATTTTCAGGCTAAGAATAAATGTTGCTTAGGCCCATTTGGTCCATTTTTTAGTCTAAAACCTGCTGAGATCTTCTCCCTGCTTGGGTATTATAAAGTCATTTCTTTCTGCAGTATATTACCTGTCCATATTTTCTAATGAAAATATCTTTGAAACTTGTGATTTCATCAAAAGAAATTAATTTTTGAAACTTAAGTGATTAAATGTGGTTTATATTTATTCTAAATAAACATAATACTGTAAACAATCTT